CAGGTGGTACATTTGCTACAATCAGTGACCCGACACTGACGCGTGATAATCACGCAAAGTCCATAATTTGCCCGAGACGTCACTCTTGGTGAGTTTAGACAAGTATCTGACACATATCTGCCTCTATAGCGTAAAACAGAATACTTTTACGGCCCTGAAAATCCTGCGCTCCACCTGTTCGCGCCCCCTCTCTCCACCCTTGGCAGCCGCCTGTCCTCTAACTGTCTCCATAGTTTTGCCTTTTCCAGAATGTCATATAGTTGGAATCATATGTTATGTAATCTTTTCAGACTTTTTTCACTTAGTCATATTCATTTAAGGTTCTTCCATGTTTTTCTGTGGCTTTATGTAAGTCATTTCTCTTAGAGCTGAATAATATTCCATCGTCTGAATGTAGCATAGTTTATTTCTCCATTCAGCTACTGAAGGACATTTTAGCTGCTTCCACGTCTTGACAGTTATGAATAAAATGGGTATAAACATGGCAAATAGTTTTTTTTAAAAGCAAGTTTCTGATCACCACTTGTGCCAAGATAGTTTTAGGCCATAATGTTGACAATAATGATGATTGCATATTTTCAAGTAATTTACATTATGACGTGAGTAATTTTTTTCTTCAGTAAACTTTACACTGTGTGTTTTTCACAGCCTACTGAGTTCAATATTGTTAGTGCTGTTTCATTTTGCAGTCTTAGTGATAGCATATTCAGGTGTCCATTTGCTTCGTATTAGAGCTGTGGCTCTCAACCAGATGCCGTTTCCCCACTCCTTGCCTTCGCCCCCCAGGGGACACAGAAATTTTGGTTATGTAACTACTGTCTATTGAGTAGAGACCAGGGATGTTGTTAAACATGTTGCAATACAATCCATAACAAAGAATATTCTGGCCCAAATTTTCAATAGTGCTGAATCTGGGAAATCTTGATTTCAAATTTGGTTCATATTAGTCCCTCACTCATCTACGCATTTGGCTATTTTGTTGACACTGGCATGGATTTCTGGCAAATCATTCCAATTGTGCTTTTTTTCTTTTTCAACTTCAGGTGTGGTACCCTGAAGAGGCTAAGGAAATTATCAGAGAAGTTTTCACATCAAATGTACTCATGAGAGCTTTATTGGTTCCCATAGAGCAGTAGTTCTTCATGTCAGATGCCCATTAAAATAGTCTGCAGAGGTATTGTAAATTCACATACAGTTGTCATGGGCAAAGCCTGATCTCTTTCTCAGATTTGCCAGATGATCCTACTGTGTGTCCACGGTTGGAAACCACTCTCAGAGGCCGTGACCCTCAGCTCATGTTCACCCAGCAAGACTGCTCGGTGGCCAGATCTCCCAACCCAGAGATCTTTCCTCTTGCTGTTCAAATGGGGACATGATTGAACTGATACTCTACAAATCCATTCCCAATGAGGAAATGTCATTGAAAACATATTTTTGTGAACTGAGGGAGCTCTGAGTTAAAAAATACTTTATCTAAGTATTTTTATAAGCTGTGCTGTAAAACATTGATGAGAAAGAGACTTTATAGACAGTGCTGAGTGGAACCCAACAGTATATGTTTGGTATATGTTTGCATATACCCACAGGGAGGCCTGGCGTGCTGTGGTTCATGGAGTCTCAAAGAGTTGGACACGACTGAGCGACTGAACTGAACTGAGCTGATAGATCCATTTAATTCATTTCACTGAAGTTTGAGTCTGCGTTATGCCCGAATTTATTCATTATCTCATAACATTAAATTTGATATATGGCTAACTTTTTCAGTGTTTACGTAGTCCTTAGAGGCTCTTGGAGTTAGAGTCAGCTGACTCTTTTTTTATCAGTTCAGCTAACATCTGAGATGTTATTTTTACCCAGACTATGTGTACCCAGGCACACATCTGCTGAAGTTCCCCCAGAAAGTCTATGGCTCAACCAAGTGTGATTTTCTTAGACATCAAGCTTAAGTTCATAGGCACTCAGATGAAAAATGAATTACCTTTTATAAGTCACTCTCAAGTTAAATATACTGTAATCTCAAAGCTGCATCAGCAAGGGGTAATCATCTGTTTTAACCTTCTTCCAAAGACTAAGAAAACCTTGTTTCTTGCAGTTCCGTATTTCAATTTCCCTTCTAAATTTCAAACAATAATTAGAACATCTAGGTTGAAATCAAAACAATAATACATATTTTTTAAAATTTTAAGCCACTAAGAAGGAATTCACAGCAAGATTGTTGAGTGTAATACTAACACGTATTAGACCCTCAACAAATGTATTTTGAATAAAAATAAAAACAAAACAAGAACTATGGTAACAAGAAGGTGCCTATTGTGAAAGTCATTTGCATGTTCTGATGAAATGGTACTCAGTAATGATGTGATAATAAGATTGCTGGGTATTAATTATGAATCTGGCACCCAGGTCTTTATCATTTAATGGCATTAAATGACATTAATGTCATTAAAAAATGACAGTTTTTACCATCCAGGATCAACAAGTTAACTAATCTGAACCAAACCAAAGAAATATTACTGAGTTATTTTTCTTTGTGAATTAGGAGGAAATGGTCAGTTTTTATAAGTGAGAGATACATTAAACTGTGGCTGAAACAGGAAAAGCCAGTGAGTCCACTTTATATATCAGACTTCCATAAGACCCATCCCTCTCTCCTTTCTATAAACAGGGCCACTGCTGTTTAGTTTAGAAAGTAAAATATGTTGTTGTTCAAGGCAATAAACACCACACACGAATAAATAGTTTATGAAATATTTCATAACAATGTATGGTGACAGATGTTAACTAGATTTATTGCAATGACCGTTTCACAATATATACAAATATCAAACCATTATGTTGTACACCTGAAACTGATATAATGATATATATCAATTATACCTCAGTTTAGAAAAAAGAGTAGCTCATTTATTTAATGCTCAGACAACAAAATACCTGTCATATTACTAGGAGTGGAAAGCTAGAAGTAAGATGATAATCATGGGATATTTTATTACATATAGAGAATTTTTACCTAGAATCACACTTTATCAATTCAAATAATTTTTCAATCTTAGTAATTATCTGATTCTAAGGGAAAACATAAAGTAGGAAGAATAGATGTACTTTTAGCATGTTTAGTATGGATACTTTAGTGGTTATGAACTCCCTGAAAATGTAACTGCTTTGTACTCCAACTCAGATGTAAAGTCTTTTGTATGTTAGAACAAAAGTTAATGCACTAGTTCTCATGAAAACATGTTCTCGCAGCAAAGATTGATTCTATCAAATGCAGTTTTATTACTGTGCGGTGACATTATAGCAAATACGGTTTCGGAATTCACTCCTTCCATTGCCTTGTGAAGTAGCAGCAGCGACACAGTTCAGGGAATTCCAGGCCAGTTTGAATGTAAACCCATCAAATTCAAAGTCCCATTCTATGGTGAACAGCACCATCAAAAGAAGCTTTTGAAAAGTCCTCTGGGCTGGTGCACTGGGAAGACCCAGAGGGATGGGATGGGGAGGGGGGATTGGGATGGGGAACACATGTAAATCCATGGCTGATTCATGTCAATGTATGGCAAAAACCACTACAGTATTGTAAAGTAATCAGCCTCCAACTAATAAAAATAAATGAAAAAAAAAAGAAATTATAAAAAAAAAAAAAAGTCTCCTGGGTCAGAAAGGAAAACAGGGTAGAATGTAGCCAAAAGGCATGCTGATTACTCTCCTGTGGGTTCTGAGTCGCTATTACCCTCCAGAGGACTGCGTCTGGAGTGGCAGTATCATGTTCATTATTCTTGAGATTGTAAATTAGTGTTGAGGTCTACAATTCTGAATAATGAAAATGTTAATAAACAGAGCCTTTTCCTCCCAGGAGTTCCATTAACAAGATTTCTTCAGTTTGGGGTAGTTTCCAGACTTTCGAGAGCCTTCTTCTTGCCAGCAGAAGCCCTCATTAAATAATTTTCCCAGACGTGAGAACTTCTCATGCTTTTTATTTTCTCCAAATGTGAAATGAAGCCTAATTTCCTTATTCTATACATTCCTATCATTCAGGCAAGATATATGTTTGGTGGTAGTAGTAATAATCACAATAACACTACCTAGAATAAAGAGTACTAACACTTTGTCTGGGCATCTTAGGTGCCAGGTTTGACGCTCAGTGCTTTCACCGGGTCATCTCATTCCAGCCTCTCCGACAATCACGCTGTGATTGTTACTGTGGATTACAGTTGTGATTGTAATTTCGGATCAGTTTAGCAGGCATGCTCTGCTAACTTAATCACAAAGAGGCATAAGGAGCAGCCTAGACTCATTCCAGTTCAGAAATCTGTGCCTCTAACCAGCATGCTCTATGGCCCCCTTTCTTGCTAAACAACTGTGACATTTAGGCTGGGGACACAGTACATGAGTGGCATATCAATGCTTGATAAATCAATCAGTCAATCAAAGGTAAAATGAATACGCATGAAAGAAGATTTAGACTTAAAGTTTACAAAAATCATTAAAAAAGAGGAGTAGAAATACACACTCATATCAATATATACCAAAATGACCTGTGAGTCATCGTACTTAGAATGTTAAATGGAAGCATGATTAAGTAGCTTAAATATTTATGATGTGAAATTGTGCCCATTTAGTTGTCATACAAAGCTATTGGCAAAGTTTTAACTCAATCTGCAGGATCACATCTTAAATTTATCAGTTAATGTTTTCTAAAGTTTAAAAAATGTGTGGTGAGATTTTTGAGATCAATACATGAATGAAACAGGCATTAAGATGCAAATAGACGAACTCTTCCTTTGTCCATCAGAACCTCTGTGACGCAGTTTTCCAGCACCTTCCTTCTTGTGATCCATGATGTTCACCATCTCTCAGCTTCTTTACTGGTGGCAGGACCTACCGGAGTTGTGATAAATATTGAGCTGTGTAGGTTAAACATAGAATCCCTCCTTCCCAGTAGAAGGAAGGATGTTTTCTGAAGGAATATGTTTTCTGTCTTGACTTTTTCTCTGTTGCAGTTTATTATGCTGACATACCTTTTCATGCTGGCCTGGCTGGGAGTCACGGCATTCACCTCACTGCCGGTTTACATGTATTTCAACCTGTGGACCATATGCCGAAACACCACCTTAGTGGAGGGAGCAAATCTCTGCCTGGACCTTCGTCAGTTTGGTAGGTGGATCCCTGGCTGTAAAACAGCACCTCATATGGTTTGCCTCATTTTAAAATAGTGTAATGGAAGAGAAAACAGCAACCCAACCAAGTATTCTTGCCTGAAAAGTCCCATGGACACAGGAGCCTGGCAAGCTACAGTCCTATGAGTCGCAAAGGGTTGGAAACGACTGAGCAACTGAGCAAACTAGTGTAAACCACTTTGGAACCATCATTACTTCTACCAAAGAGATAGATGCATCAGAATCTTCATGTTTAAGTCATTCTTTTAAAACCAAACTAAGGGAATTTCAGAGTGATTGCAAGTTACTCTTATGACATGAACCGTGTAGTGTTTGCATAGTATTTTCATTCTCCCCTGATAAACTATATAGTCTGTGAAGTCTGCTATGAAGATAACCTAAGAAATAGATACTTCATTGTTTTCTGAAACAGGGGAAAAAACTAAACTTTACCATTTCATAATAAAAAAAAAATCAAAAAATACTAAATCAGTCAGTAGTCCTCTTGGGTTATTTTTATTTAGGACCAAAACCTCATGTAACAATAATAATTTCTTATGTGTATAAGGGCTTACAATAGTTTGTATATGTTTGCCTGTTTAGTTCTCACAGTAATTCTGTGTGGTGGATACTGTGGTTATCTTCTTTATAAATGACAAAACTGAGGTCCCAGAAGGTTAAATTTCCTGTCCAAGGTGACACAGCTAGTAAGTGACCACACCAGCTTCACTCCATCCAGTTTCAGAGTCTGTTTTTGGTTCAAAGTGAGCTGCCTCACCTGTTGAAACAAGTACTGAACTATGAATGTGGAAAGTTGAGTCTAATCTCACCTAATCTGTTTGGAATTCCATCCCATCCTTTGTAATAATATGGGGGCTACAGAATTTATAGAAGATATACAAAGTCATGTGCTCAAACTGATTTTTTTCTACAACACAGCTGTTAGTGGATTGCCATTCCGTTCTCCAGGGGATCTTTCTGACCCAGGGATCGAACTCAGGTCTCTTGCATTGCAGGTGAATTCTTTACCATCCAAGCCACCAGGGAAGACCTTTAAAATCTAATAGAGTGTTCTAAATGTTTTTCTCTAATGCGGGTGTCCCCGTACTTCAGGCAAGTGGGAAGCAGTTCAGTAGAGGGGATTGCAAGGTTAGACTGTGGCTCTGAGGTTAGACTGTAGACAGACTGCAGGGTATGGTCGAACCAGTCCATCACCAGCTAGCCCTATGTTCCAAAACAGTGTCTACCTACACTCTTGTTAGAAGGAGTTCCTGCCCCCATTGTGTGATGCAGATGAAAATCAGGATGATTTGCTCTGTACATGGAGTTCTTGGCAAGAAGATGATGGAAGGAACGTGGACAGGTCTTCCCTGGGGAAAGTTTTAACCTTGGAATCATGTCCATGTAAGCAATGACACCCCACTCCAGTACTCTTGCCTGGAAAATCCCATGGACAGAGGAGCCTGGTAGGCTGCAGTCCACGGGATCGCTAAGAGTTGGACACTACTGAGCGACTTCACTTTCACTTTTCACTTTCATGCATTGGAGAAGGAAATGGCAACCCACTCCAGTGTTCTTGCCTAGAGAGTCCCAGGGACGGGGGAGCCTGGTGGGCTGCTGTCTATGGGGTCGCACAGAGTCACACACGACTGGAGCGACTTAGCAGCAGCAGCAAGCACAAGGAAAGGAAGCCTTGGCACCTACTGCTGGAGGTCACTGGAAAATAGCTGCTCGGGAAACCACAGCCCTAACTTCAGCATCCTAGCCCCCAACTAAAATGTCTTCCTTTAGTTCTTCTAATCTGAAAAATTAAAATTGGAAGAGATGTGGCTAGTCTCACAGAGAGGGTTGCCAGGTAAATTACAGGACACCTAGTTAAATTTGAATTTCTGATAAGCAATATATTTTTTTAGTCCAGTACATCCAAGATATTGTAGGGGACATACATCTGGTAAGTGTAAAGCATGACTATGATTAAAGGTGCTCTTTGAAACTTACCCTGTTACAGCATAGTTCAGTTCAGTTGCTCAGTCATGTCTGACTCTTTGCAACCCCATGGACTGCAGCACACCAGGCCTCCCTGTCCATCACCAACTCCTGGGGCTTGATCAAACTCATGTCTGTCGAGTTGGTGATGCCATCCAACCGTCTCATCCTCTGTCGTCCCCTTCTCCTCCTACCTTCAATCTTTCCCAGCATCAGGGTCTTTTCAAATAAGTCAGTTCTTCACATCATGTGGCCAAAGTATTGGCGTTTCAGCTTCAGCATCAGTCTTTCCAATGAACACCCGGGACTGATTTCCTTTAAGATGGACTGGTTTGATCTTGCAGTCCAAGGGACTCTCAAGAGTCTTCTCCAACACCACAGTTCAAAAGCATCAATTCTTCAGCCCTCAACTTTATAGTCCAACTCTCACATCCATACATGACTACAGGAAAAAACCATAGCTTTGACTAGATGGACTTTTGTTGGGAAAGTAATGTCTCTGCTTTTTAATATGCTATCTAGGTCGGTCAGAGCTTTTCTTCCAAGGAGCAAGCATCTTTTAATTTCATGGCTGCAAGTCACCATCTGCAGTGATTTTGAAGGCCAAAAAAATAAAGTCTGTCACTGTTTCCCCATCTATTTGCCATGAAGTGATGGGACCAGACGCTATGATCTTAGTTTTCTGAATGTTGAGTTTTAAGCCAACTTATTCACTCTCCTCGTACACTTTCATCCAGGATTTATTCAGGCTTAGCTTTTCTCTGTGATGTGAAGAGGTGTCATGCAATCTTTCACATCATCTGCACTGCTTTCTGTTTGCTGTTAACAAAGAATCTACTGCCTGGATAGCATTTATTTACCCTCCAAATAATACATCTTTAATAAGAATCCTTAATGTGCATATGCAATCAAGTTATAAACAAAGGACATCAGAAAAGAAAAAACCTGTGTTCCCCATCCCGATCCGCCCCCCCAACTCCCTCCCCATCCCATCACTCTGGATCTTCCCAGTGCACCAGCCCTGAGCACTTGTCTCATGCATCCAACCTAGGATGGTGATCTGTTTCATCCTTGATAATATACGTGTTTCAATGCTGTTCTCTCAGATCATCCCACCCTTGCCTTCTCCCACAGAGTCCCAAAGTCTGTCCTGTACATCTGTGTCTCGTTTGCTGTTTTGCATATAGGGTTATTGTTACCATCTTTTTAAATTCCATATATATGTGTTACTATACTGTATTGGTCTTTATCTTTCTGGCTTACTTCATTCTCTATAATGGGCTCCGGTTTCATCCATCTCATTAGAACTGATTCAAATGAATTCTTTTCAATGGCTGAGTAATATGGCAAAAATCATTCCAATATTGTAAAGTAATTAGCCTCCAACTAATAAAAATAAATGGAAAAAAAAAAGAAAAGAAAAAAACCAACCCCACAATTGTGGATCACAATGGGTACAGACAGAGGCAACAGAATTTCCTGATGAGTTGTATGTGGGGGTTGACAGGAAAAGAGGATTCAAGAAGGAATTCATCTTTTTGATTAAGCAACTGGGAAGATTGATTAGCTATCAAATGAGATGGGAAAGCCAGCCAAAAGAGCTTGCTCAGTGGTGGGGCAGGCAAGGGAGAAGATCAGACTTCAGTTTCAGCGGTGTTATTTTTCAGATGCTTATTAGAAGTCTCAATAGAGTTGTCAGGTAAGAAATTGGATATTTGGGTCTTGGTTTCAGGAGAGAAGTATGGGGCCACCTGTATGGATCTAGGAATCTTGATAATGTTTAAAGTTGAAAGCTCTGAGAACGGCTGAGGTCAGCAAAGGAGACAGATAACTGAGGACCGAACACTAGGAAGCACCGCTGAAAGAGATCCTAGGTCACTGGAGGAACCCAACAGAGATACTGAGAGGGAGAAGCCAGTGAGAACAGAAAGGCGAAAACAGGAGGATGTAGATTTTGGAATCCAAATAAAGAGACCAGGAAGGATGGAAGTCTCCTCTGTCCATGAGATTTCCCAGGCAAGAATACTGGAGTGGGTTGCCATTTCCTTCTCCAGGGAATCTTCCCAACCCAAGGATTGAGCCCATGTCTCCTGCATTGGCAGGCAGATTCTTTAACCACTGAACCACCAGGGAAGCCTCGCAGGAGTCATCAGCTGCCTCCAATACTGCTGACTGGCGAATAGAAGGTGAACTAAGAATTCATCTTCAGTTTTAACAATGTGGAGCGCATGGATGATCTTCATAAGGAAAGTTTCAGTGGAGGATTGGGGTGAAATTTGACTGGAAGGGTTTAAGTGAAAATGGAAAGAAAGGAATTGCAGACTGAGCCTAAGCAACACTTCCTAGAAGTTTTGCTGCAAATACGAATAAAGAAATAGGCAATGAAATGCATGCATAGCCAGGCTGTTTCATGTGAATGAACAAAGTCTGCAACAGATCAGCAGGAGAAAGATGGCCTTCCTGGGAAGATTTCTCACTAATGATGATTTCTTAGACACATCTTCCAGAGGTTCTTTTTAACCTCTCTTAGATTTACCATGGCAAAAAAGGAAGGTCCCAGAGAAGGATCTCTGAATTCAAGATATTGCAAGTAGATTTTTTTAACTGAAATAATTGCCCATACTATTGGCAAAGCAGGTTGGTATAGGCAGATCAATAGACATGGAGAGTTGATGGTGCACCTCAAAGCTAAGAATGTGTGAATATGTGTACATATTAAAACTAAATAATAGTCCATGTATTGTTATGCAGCAAGTGCTAAAAGCTGAGATATTAGTTTGCCCAGAAGTTGTGAATTTTTTCTTTCTTGTATATATGTGTTTAACACATCAGGAGTTCTCAAAGCAAAATCAAAGACCCATTTTAGGATGAACTTGATCACTTCTGTAAAATAAGGTCTGTGGCAGTGCATCACCTATGTGCTTGTTAAAAATGCAATAGTCCTGGCAGACGTTCACAGACTCTGATAGAATAGTCCTCTGGTGATCTAGAGATACAAATTTGTGATAGTCCCCAGGAGATTATGATGCAATTCAGTTTAGTCACTCAGTCGTGCCCAACTCTTTGCGACCCCAAGGACTGCAACATGCCAGGCCTCCCTGTCCATCACCAACTCCTGGAGTTTACTCAAACTCATATCCATTGAGTCAGTGATGCCATCCAACCATCTCATCCTCTGTTATCTCCTTCTCCTCCCGCCTTCAATCTTTCTCAGCATCAGGGTCTTTTCCAGTGAGTTAATTCTTCACAACAGGTGGCCAGAGTATTGGAATTTCAGCTCCAGCATTAGTCCTTCCAATGAACATTCAAGACTGATCTCCTTTAGGATGGGCTGGTTGTATCTCCTTGCTGTCCAAGGGACTCTCAAGAGTCTTATCCAACACCACAGTTCAAAAACATCAATTCTTCGGTGCTCAGCTTTCTTTATAGTCCAATCCTCACATCCATACATGACTACTGGAAAAACCAGAGCTTTGACTAGACAGATCTTTGTTGGCAAAGTAATGCCTGCTTTTTAATGTGCTGTCTAGGTTGGTCATAACTTTTCTTTCAGTGAGCAAGTGTCTTTTAATTTCATGGCTGCAGTCACCATCTGCAGTGATTTTGGAGCCCCCCCAAAATCCGCCACTGTTCCCCATTGTTTCCCCATCTATTTGCCATGAAGTGATGGGACCAGATGCCATGATCTTAGTTTTCTGAATGTTGAGCTTTAAGCCAACTTTTTCATTTTCCTCTTTCATTTTCATCAGGAGGCTGTTTAGTTCTCCACTTTCTGTCACAGGGGTGGAGTCATCTGCATATCTGAGGTTAGTGGTATTTCTCCTGGCAATCTTGATTCCAGCTTGTACTTCATCCAGCCCAGCGTTTCTCGTGATGTACTCTGCATATAAGTTAAATAAACGGGGTGACAGTATACAGCCTTGACATACTCATTTCCTGATTTGAAACCAATCTGTTGTTCCATTTCCAGTTCTAACTGTTGCTTCTTGACCTGCATACAGATTGCTCAGGAGGCAGGTCAGGCGGTCTGGTATTCCTATCTCTTTAAGAATTTTCCACAGTTTATTGTGATCCACATAGTCAAAGGCTTTGGCATAATCAATAAAGCAAAAATAGATGTTTTTCTGGAACTCTTGCTTTTTCGATGATCCACCAGATGTTGGCAATTTGATCTCTGGTTCCTCTGCCTTTTCTAAATCCAGCTTGAACATCTGAAAGTTCACATACTGTTGAAGCCTGACTTGGAGAATTTTGAGCATTACTTTACTAGCTTGTGAGACAAGTGCAGTTGTGCAGTAGCTTGAACATTCTTTGGCATTGCCTTTCTTTGGGATTGGAATGAAAAGTGACCTTTTCCAGTCCTATGGCCACTGCTGAGTTTTCCAAATTTGCTGGCCTATTGAGTGCAGCACTTTCACAGCATCATTTTTTAGGATTTGAAATAGCTCAACTGAAATTCGATCACCTCCACTAGCTTTGTTTATAGTGATGCTTCCTAAGGCCCACTTGACTTCACATTCCAGGATGTCTGACTCTAGGTGAGTGATCATACCATCGTGATTATCTGGCTCATGAAGATCTTTTTTATACAGTTCTTCTGTGTATTCTTGCCACCTCTTCTTAATATCTTCTGTTTCTGTTAGGTTCACACCATTTCTGTCATTTATTGTGCCCATCTTTGCATGAAATGTTCCCTTGGTATCTCTAATTTTCTTGAAGAGATCTCTAGTCAGGAGATTCTGATTCAGTTGATCCATAAACCAACTGGAGCAAGGATAAATAGGAGTGAAATTGCAGCTTTTTATTTCTTCTTACTAATAACATTGTTTTCAGCGTTAGCAGAGAAAAATTGCTCCTTTGGGCAATATGCTTTTATAGACTAACGGAGGCTTTGTACAAGCAGAATACTTTTAGATCCTGACGTCATCTGGAGCATAGTTATCCAAATAATTCTGATGCCTACACCATGACATTAATGGACCAAACCAATGAAGTAGCTACAATTGAATCTGAAGATTCTGGTGGCTAGATCCCATTGAATTCAGATTGAAAATGTTTTAAATTGCTTAAGGCTTGAATAGTCTTGATCATCCATTCTTAGTTTTATTTTTCATGATTATTATCAAGCCATGAAAGCTGGGGAAGAGTTTTTCCATTACAATATAACATAAAAGGAAACTTACTTATATTTTATCCACTCAAGTTTCTTTTTTTCTCTTTGGGATCCTGAAAATATGTAAAATATTAAGCTGTAATTTTCTGAATGTTGTAGGAATTGTGACAATTGGAGAGGAAAAGAAAATTTGCACCGTCTCTGAGAATTTCCTGAGAATGTGTGAATCCACTGAGGTGAGTGTTGTTACAGCCTTTAATTTTGTTAGAATTTGAGCTTCATTTTGTTATTTGAATATATAATTAAAGCGACATCAAATTCCTGCCTTTTTCTTTCAGAGGCAAGTTCACTTGCAATGTTGTTATGCAGGGGGATGAGAAGATAAATAAGAATGACATACTCTGCATATTTCAATAAAAACTTACGATAAAAATTTTTTTCTAGAAACTATCATTTTAATGAAAGTTGAAAAATCATAAGGCTATATTTTAAAAGGTATGCCATAGCCTGCATGGTTATAATATTACTGGAAACCATCATTATTAATTATGATCTCATCTTTAATATGAAATTATATTAAAATGGTGCAGTTGCAAAGATTTAAACAACTTGCAGGAGAAAAGATATTGTGAGGTGCACTTCTGTTAAAGATGAGCAGAGTTCTTACCCATAAGGCTGCAGACGCCTGATCACTCTTCTGTTGTAACCCTGATGCATGTCTGTTTCTCTCTGGTTTCTTCTGCAGCTGAACATGACCTTCCACTTGTTTATTGTTGCCCTTGCTGGAGCAGGGGCTGCAGTCATCGCTATGGTAAGACCTCAAAGCTCTGAGGCTTGGCTTTTCACTTTGCCTGTAGAGACGATCATTTGCCTCTAATACCCAAAGTCTGTAGGAATCACATGTATTTTAGCATCATTTAAAAAAAGAGAGGGGGGGAATGGGCAAATAATTAAGTGAAAAATAAGGCTTAATCTAAAGAAAGATATTCGTTACAATAGAACTGACATTTAGTAATCAGTTGAAGGATTCAGATGCTCCATAATATTAGTAACACTAACCAAAATAAGCAAATTCCTTAGCATTTTAGATATGAGACTACTAGTAACATTGAAAAATCATTTATTTAGCATGTACTACATATGCACCAATGGGATATTTGAATAATTTAATCAATTCCTTATCTTACGTTACACTTTTTTCATCCTTATGGAGTCATTTATGAAAAAAGGATTAATTTATTTTTCTCTACATAAACCTTAGTAGTTCCTTGTCGTGTCTTCTGTATATAACTTTCTTAAAAAATATTAAGAACAAGTCCTGAAAGTCAGGTTTTACCAAGTTTTGAGGACCTGAATTTTGCCAGATCCAGGCTCTTCTTTGTAACTCACCATGAGTTCCATTTGTTTAGTGGAAGGCCAAGTGGCAACAATGAACAAGGACCCTGCACTTTGTAGGAGCTTTTGCAGCCGGGTTGCTCGGTCCTTATTTTCCTGTCCTAGAATATAAGTAGAACAGTAACCTCAGCTATGGAATAGCTACTTCAATACCCAGAAATGATGAGTTAATTTGGAACTATCTAATTCCTTTCCTTATGGTGCCAATACATTTTCCAACGTGTTGGTGAAAGGAACATTTGGGAAAAAATGAGTGCTTTTCTCTTGTCAAAGACTGAAAACAGGAAAGCAGAGACAATGTGCTGGTGAGCCACTTTGGACCAGTTATTTTCAGTGACTTCATAAATAAATTTGTATTAAGACCTGACTCTGTTTTATAAAATTGTTCTCAAAGATGTATATACATGTCATTTCAATCATGTCTGACTCTTTGTAACCCCAGAGACTGTAGCCCACCGATGGGGCTCCTCTGTCCATGAGATTCTACAGGCAAGAATCCTGGAGTGGGTTGCCATGCCCCTCTCCAGGGAAGCTTCCCAACCCAGGGATGGAACCAGCATCTCTCATGTCTCCAGGTTCTTTACCACTAGCACCACCCTATTTTCAAAAATACCTGACAAAAATAGCCATATCAAGGCAATAGTGGATTTTCAGATATTTTAATTCAATATCATGCTAATTGCTCAACATGGTAGATTTGGTGTATAAATGTCTCCATAAGAATTTCACTTCAGAATATGAGATGTTTAACAAGATCTCGCTGCCTGAGTAATTGAGAGGTCACAATAAAATAATAAGCAAAGGCCTTATATTCTTAACATAGAATCATCCATAGATTCTGGGCAGTGATATCCCAGACCCCATAATCCCAAATAGCCCAGCTGTGAGACAACAGGAAACATCTGTTCACCGGCATCCACACACACATCTCTGCACAATGGATAAATCTAGGGTCGTGTATCTTCAAGCAACACACACCCATGTATAAAACATCTATCAAATCATTTTCTGAAAAGAAGTACATAATAAGGCATTTGTTTGCATTTGCAACATATGTGTGTGTGAAATTCTGTGTAAAAACACATGCCTTCAGGCACACATTAGTGAAAAATACCTGTCTGAACAAAATAGTGTTTAAATGACTCTAAAAATGCTTCCTATAAAGTGATTCTATTATCAAAAGATTTTAAGATGATAGAAAATTTAGATGTTATATATTTCTTAAGAAATCTGCATAGACTTAGGAATTAACTTATAAATAAATGTTATTTCAAACAGCAAGAGTTTAAAAGATTACTTTCTTAAGTACTAAGCATCCTTTTAGATATCTAAATAAAGGCAAAGCATAAATTCCTTAAGAAGTAAATAACTTCTAAATATTGATTGGTCCCAAGTTTATGTTTCTGGAAACAGGGAAATTACTGATAGAACTACTTCTGTTGTTCCCAGTATTAATATAGCTACCATAGCACTGCTATTAGCTAACATTTCTTTAAAATATACTTGGTTGAAGTTACTATCAAATACTTTGTCAGTACTTGTAAGATAGCAACTGTCATTAACCTCAACACATCTCATCCAACTCTCACAAGACAGCTACCGTAATTATTTCTATATTAGAGGTCAGAAAATTGAGATGAATTTCACTCTTAAATACCAAGGTATTTAAAAATCCTCTGTAATTTAAGACAAGGGTTGTAAGAATGTGGACTAAGATTCATGTGTGCCCTACTCTGCCTGCATGCAGGACACCTGGGTTCGATCCCTGGGTTGGGAAGATCCCCTGGCGGAGGTATGGCAGCCCACTCTCATATCCTTGCCTGGAGAATCACCATGGACACAGAAGCCTGGCGGGCTACAGTCCATAGGGTCACAAAGAGTCGGACACGACTGAACGACTAAGCAGGGCATAGCACTACTCCATTATTTTTTTTATTATGTTAGGAAAGTCTGTCTGCTGACAAAAGTAGTCAACTTAGCATCTCTAGATTTAGGTGATCGGGATTCATCTGCTGAGGTCCGGTAACAAGCCTGGAGCTTGCATTAACCTAGGGCCAGGTGAAATATCTGAAAACCTGCTGGGAAACTCCAGTCTCTAGAGTAACATTGATATTCTTTTCAGTATTTCACTCATAGATTTTTAGTAATAATTTAAGGGTCATATTTTTCTCAGATTTCAAAGAGAAAGTTTCTAAACATCTAAAAATAAATTCATTCCTATGGCAAATATTCTGAGTATCAGCAGCTTGATAAGCACTCTCCAAGGCCCTTGATATTTTCACAGCAACAACAACAACACACATTTGGCTATGTGTACAAGCCTTACTTAATCCACATACATACAGTGATTAAGCTTTCACTATGAAAATGCAAGAATATAATTCAGAGCTCCTACTTCCATGTGGCTTACAATTTCTAAACAAATGAAGCAAAATACAGAATTTGAGAGGAATTTCGTTGCTTTACTGTATCGCTGTATCAAAATTATTTTGTCAAAATTCCTTTCAACTGCCTATTGAATGCCTGAACATGAACATAATACAGTGGTCACTGTTTAGAATTTACCTTGCATTCTTGATGTTCATCCCTACTTTTCTAGAATGAGCCTAGCTCCTATTTTGACTAATCAAAATCTTCAAGTTCTTCAAAAAACTAAAAATAGAACTACCATATGACCCAGCAACTTCACTCCTGGGTATATATCTGAAAAGAAAAATTACTAGTTCAAAAAGATAGATGAACCTCAGTGTTCATAGCAGCATTATTTACAATTTCCAAGACATGCAAGCAACCTAATTGTCCCATCAACAGATGAATGGAAAAAGATGAGATGTATATACTTAGTAATATTACTTAGTAATATTCCATATGTATAATGGAATATTACTCAGCCATAAAAGAGAAGGAAATTTTGCCATTTGCAACACCACAGATGGACCTGAAGAGTATTATGCTAAGTGAAATAAGTCAGATAGAGAAAGACAGCTACTGTATGATATCACTTATATGTGGAATCTAAAAAGCACAACAAGCTAGTGAATATACAGAAAAGCAACAGACTCACAGAAATAAAGAAAAACTAGTAGGTACCGGTGGGGAGAGGGAAAGAAGAGGGGCAGCATAGAGGCAGGTGATTAAGAGATATAAGCTATTATGTGTAAATTACAGGGACATATTGTACAACACTGGAATATAGCCAATATTTTATAATAACTATAAATGGAATATAAGCTTTAGCAATTGTGAATCACTATACTGTATACCTGTAATTTACATACTATAGAATATCACTATAATTCAATAAAAACTTTTCCTGTTCTATATTACTTTATTATAAGTAGAAATAATGCTACCTTTTAAGGCTCAGAGAAAGTACATACCTGACAACTTAGTTTCTCTTTCCTATTCATCCATCAAAATCCACCAATTGGAAAATGTCTTTTCCTCTTTCAAAGACTATAAGGAAGGCAAAGAAAGAAAAACAAATAAGTGATATCATTGCTCAGTCTATTCAGGTAAAACCAGGAGCTTCATTATTTCATACTTTATTCCTCAGGAAAAATAGGGAGCTTCCTTCTTGAACTATTCTAGTGATTATGAATGTATATAAATGTACAAGATTCAGGGACTTCCCTGGTGATCCAGATGGAACACTCCATCTCCCAAAGCAGAGGGTCCAGGTTCCATCCACGCTCAGGGAACTAGAGCCCACTTGCTGCAACTAAGAGTTCTCATGGTGCAATGAAGACTGAATAGCTGGCATGCTGCAACTAAATAAACAGTGCAGCCAAATAAACATTTTAAAAAAATTTAAACAAAATAATAAAAGAGTCACATGACATATTGCTTGCTCTCTTGTAGTTCACAATGTAAAGTGCAAAATTCGTTGAATGGAAAATTAACATAATTATCCACAGGTTTATGTTGGGGTTTCCATGAACCTGTTTTCTATTGCACATTGGGCAGTGTATCATTTCATTAGTCCCAGTTCACTGGACTCCACTGTATGTGAGACTGTTTCCTATAATAGATTAGAAAACATAAATACGTAACCATAAAATATGTAGTCTTCGGTTTGGGTGAGGGCAGACGGACAGGAAGCATCACATAAAAGCTTTAAAATATTGAATTAAGACCCTCGGATATCTCAAAGCTGAAGAAGAGACTCTGCAAAAAGTGAGCCAAGAAGATAATGTCATCGTTGGGGGAGTGAGGAAGGAATATATTTTATTTATATTCTATTACAGCAGAAATCTTCATCCCATTTTGTTAATGAACATATTCTACAGAAGTATATCATTTGAACATTTCTTTCCTAATAGCAAGGTTTAGTGAAGACATGGGACAGACTTCCCGCATCAGTTATCTTTGTCTTTGATTAGGTCCACTACCTTATGGTTCTGTCTGCCAACTGGGCTTATGTGAAGGACGCCTGCCGGATGCAGAAGTATGAAGACATCAAATCAAAGGAGGAGCAGGAGCTTCATGATATCCACTCTACTCGCTCCAAAGAGCGGCTCAACGCGTACACATAAACACCACCTTCCAGCTCTATCACTCAAATGCATTGGTGTTTAACTAAGGGCCATCCAACCATCCAATCTTTTGAAAAAGAAAATGAAAGTGCTTCTCATCAATGATATGTGGGGGTGACTTATGAATTACCCGAATACACGTCTTTGTTGTGTAGCACTTCATTTCCTAATTTGTTCAATTGGTGTAATCAGATCTCTTCTACAAGCTCCTATCCAGCCTTTTTTTTTTCTTTTTTAAATTTCTCAAACTCACTTAATTCTGTAAGTTCAAAGAGACTAACATTGTCAGATGCAGAGGTTTGATTTCTAACCACTTCCATGTGTTATACATTACACCTTTTGCATTCTTTCTTATGTTTTGAAAGGAAAAGTAGCTTTTTATACTTTTTAGTTTTGATTTCAGTAACTAGTTTAACTACAGGTAACCTTCAAAGGGACCACTGTACATTATGACAATAGACAGAAATGATATCATGACTCAAAACACAAAACTCCTGTCTGAAGATCAGTGGCCGTGTCGCTATAGGCCCTGGTTAATCTTTTCATCAATCTAAGGTGCAATTTCTAAATTTGTAAGGGTAGGTTTAAAAAAAGTGCTTCTTATCTTTGTTAACACTGTTTTTTTTTCTTGATGTACCTAAAAGCATTCCTCTCTGACGACTCATGTTTCTGTTGTGAGCATGTAGAAACAGTGATGCTAATGCATGGCTAGTTACCTTTTTAAGATAGTTACACCAGGCTTACCTTTTAAAGTTTAGTATAGAGATGACTTTAACAGAAATAACTACCATGAACTGTTGACGAATGATCGCTTTGTGACTTAAGCAGTGGCTGGATTGGAACTTTTAATATGCTAATGTGGAACATTAATTACCTTTATGAAGGTGGTATATTAAAAATAAGCACACTAACCCCTCCGAAGTTGTTTTACCTACTTTAAAGCATTTTAATGGATTGCACCTCTGTAAACGATCCCTCCAATGTGTATGATATATTTGAAAAGGCTTCCATTAATATAATAGCTTTGCTTGCAGCCTTCCAATCTATGTTGGTTTACCTGTAGTGTTTTTTAAAGTGAGGTCAGAGGCCACTATACAATGTATCCTTTCGAAGTGTAGTGATATCTTGTGTTTTTATTTCAAGTAAGTCATTTTAACCAAATGTTCATTCGTATTCATTTATAAGACGTACCTATATCAAAGGAATAAAAAAAAACAATCAGTATTATTGGACCAAATTTGGTGTTTGTTTTAACCTTAACTCTTCTTCGGGTTATTTCTAATGCTACAAGAATGCTGTAAAGTGTCTTTTAAAATGATGTAGCCTGACAAGACTTTCTTGCCAGTGTATAAAAACTAGGTAGTATTGTGCACTATTTGACCATTGTGAAATCTTTTCTCAGTGTAAGTGCATTTCTAATAAAATTTATTGAGTGAAACAATCTTTGTACAATGACTAGTTGTGCATCATCCATAATTTTACAATTCTTGTAGTAGGTAGGGGGTGTATTACTAGGCTTATCTGTGGCATGATTATGCATTCTGTAGTTATTATTTAATTAATTTGGGGTTTTGCTTCTTTTTTTTACACTTAGGTTATCTTACTGGTTCAACATTTTTCTGATATATGCAGTATTACAGATATTCAGCAAAAGTATTAATGGGCTTCTTTAAATTCTATCTTATAGTGTTTCGGTTCTGTGTCTTAACAGTTTGTGATGATTTTTAAAACTGTCTTTTAAACTTATGTAATGATGTTGATGTTTTTGGCTTTTTTTTTTTTCTGGTATTAGAGTTTGTATTTTCACAGAGAGTGCTTTGTAGCAGGCATTACAATTAATCTGTTTTGTACATAAATGTGCCAACAGCTTGATGGCGGCGTTTTTGAAATGTAGAACAAAGAGCTTGCAAATGTAATAAATACACTTGTGTACGTTGTGTACTTATTATTAGTTTCTGCAGCGTCTTTTTGGTTTTTCTTTCTTGTTTTGTTTATTCCTCTTTCCTGTGTGTGCATTCTTTCCAATTCAATTGGTGCTAATTCCTTAGGATGCTTATTGCCTTGGTTGAGCCGACCTAACGCTTCACACTTTAATGAAAAGTCTGTGCGTGACCTACAGCGGGGGAATGCTGGGGAGAGGGGAGAGGGTGAAGTGGAGGCTGTGGAGGCCATTCCATTTAGCAAATGATAATGATTCCCAGTTTATGCTGTTTCCTTGCCTAATGTTTATTGTTTTGTGTTTTCTTTAGTATTTCATAAACTAGTAGAGAAACAAAAATGTCTAATGCAATTAAGAAAGAAAAAATGATTTATTGGTTTGCTTCCAAATGTCAAGGTGAGATGAATGAAATGAAAAAAAATTTTTTTTCCGGACTTCATTTGTTTTGGATGTAATTTCTTCTGGCCAAATCAAGCAATGGCAATTTACAAATGATAAAATAGTTATCTAAAAAACCTAAACTTTCATAAAACCTAAGGAATTATATTATTCTTCATTTATGTATAATTGTAAATGACAATTTGGAAATTTCATAAAGTTAAATTACTAATAGCTACAATAATTATAAGTAGATCATGGGAAAATGTCTTGTTTTTAAAAAAATCACTTTGATGACAATAAAAAAATTTATCCCTTATTCAAATCTTATGAAATAATAATTCTTATTTTTTCCATATTTATGAGATGCTTAACTTTGTTGTTGTTGTGCTCATTTGTGTCCAACTCTTTGCGACCCCATGGACTGCAGCCTGCCAGGCTCCTCTGTCCATGGAATTTTCCCAGACAAAGAATACTGGAGTGGGTTGCTATTTCTTTTGCAGGGGATCTTCCAGACCCAGGGATCAGAACCAAGTCTCCTGCATCTCCTGCACTGGCAGGCAGATTCTTTTACTGCTCTGCCACCTGGGAAGCCCTTCTAGGCATAGCAACAAGATAATAAAGAACTAAATGTTAAAGAACTTTGACATGAACAAAAATTTCATGATATATGCTTTTCAAAACTGATCATTATGAAATAATTTAATCTTTGAAAACTTAAAAGTTCATTTCTCTATGTAAAAATATATGCTTATATTTTAGTTCAGTTCAGTTGCTCAGTCGTGTCTGACTCTTTGCGACCCCATGGACTGCAGCACGCCAGGCCTCCCTGTCCATCACCAACTTCCAGTGTTTACTCAAACTCATGTCCATTGCATCGGTGGTGCCATCCAACCATCTCATCCTCTGTCATCTTATCAAACTTCCAGTGCTTTCTTTTCATTCAGTTAGAAATGGTCTCCTATTTCAGGGAGAAATGAGAAACAGAACAACATCTCCATAAATCCCCATCACCAATCTCTTAATCTATCTGTATCAATATCTGCTTTTTCTCTTTTCAATTTGGATGAATTGCTCACATTTTTCAGGCCAGACACACTTGATGTATTTTAGATCCCACTTCCTGTCACCTACTGAAGGGTAAAGATCACTCCAGCAAATTTTCCCTCCCCCAGTCTCTCCTGAATCATCAGTTTTCACTCTCTGATGGCTTATTCCAATCTTTAAACAAGCAAGCAACAATAAGAACAAATTTAAAATCAACTCTAAAACTAGAAATGCAATAGATCTATAATTGCAATACACTCAAAACAGAAAATGAAGTTGGAGCACTTATACCACTTGACGTCAAGATTTATTTGAAAATTCTCATAATAAAAATTAATTTGGGAGTAAAAATGGGCAAATATTCCAATGGACAGGAGTTGGGATCTTATAGATAGATAGATGACAAATTGTTGCAAAAGTGCCAAAGTAGTAACCCAATGGAAAAAAATCATCAGTTCAGTTCAGTCACTCAGTCTTATGTGACTCTTTGTGACCCCATGGACTGCAGTATGCCAGGCCTCCCTGTCCATCACCAACTCCTGGAGCTTGCTCAAACTCATGTCCATCGAGTCGGTGATGCCATCCAACCATCTAACCCTCTGTCATCCCCTTCTCCTCCTGCCTTTATTCTTTCCCAGCATCAGGGTCTTTTCAAATGAGTCAGCCCTTCGCATCAGGTGGCCAAAGTATTGGAGTCTCAGCTTCAGCATCTGTCCTTCCAATGAATATTCAGGTCTGATTTCCTTTAGGATGGACTGGATGGATCTCCTTGCAGTCCAAGGGACTCTCAAGAGTCTTCTCCAACACCACAGTTCAAAAACATCAGTTCTTCGGTGCTCAGCTTTCATTATGGTCCAACTCTCACATCCATACATGACTACAGGAAAAATCATAGCTTTGACTAGACGGACCTTTGTTGGCAAAGTAATGTTTCTGCTTTTAAATATGCTGTCTAGGTTGGTCATAGCTTTTCTTCCAAGGAGCAAGCATCTTTTAATTTCATGGCTGCAGTCACCATCTGCAGTGATTTTGGAGCCCAAGAAAATAAAGTCTGTCACTGTTTCCATTGTTTCCCCATCTATTTGCCATGAAGTAATGGGACCAGATGACATGATCTTAGTTTTCTGAATGTTAACTTTTGAGGTAGCTTTTTCACTCTCCTCTTTCACTTTCATCAAGAGGCTCTTTAGTTCCTCTTAGCTTTCTGCCATAGGGTGGTTCATCTGCATATCTGAGGTTATTGATATTTCTCCTGGCAATCTTGATTCCAGCTTGTGCTTCACCCAGTTGGGCATTTCACATGATGTACTCTGGATAGAAGTTAAATAAGTAGGATGACAATACACAGCCCCGACATACTCCTTTCCCAATTTGGAACCAGTCCATTGTTCCATGTCCATGCTTGAATATTAATCTGAAGTGGATTATAGACCCAAGCATAAAAGTTACAATTATAAAGCTTCTGGAAGAAGACAGAGAAGAATATCATCTTGACCCTTGGATAGGCAAAATTTTTAGACAGGTTGTGAAAGTCTAAAGGAGCCAGTAATGGATTAGACTCATCAAAATTTAAAACCTTAGCTTATTAAAGGACAAAGAAATGAAAACAGAAGATACAAACTGGATAAAAGTACTC